TTTTTTTTTTTTTTTTTGCTTTCTTTATTTGATAATTATTTTTTATTGTTATTATTACGGTTATTATTGTTTGAAAAAAACTTTCCAGACAGAAGGTTTTTGCTTGTCACTGCTTATTTAACTTATCAGAACATATTTATTGCTGATCATATGCATTTTTTTTTTTTTTTTGTTAATTTTGTTTTGTATTTATCTGGATAATGAACAATAGAATATATTTTCTTTTATGTTAAATTATGATCTTCCATATTAATCTAAAGATTGTGAAGACGTTTTTGTCAGTTTTCCTTTTTTCACAGTTTAATATATTGTACTTCAATGACTTTTGTTCTGCAACTACACTTTGTCAAAATGAACCTTAATTTAAAGCAAAAAAAAAAAATGCAAAAAAAGATGTTTTGCGTTTTGATTATTTATTGTACTTTTTTTTTTTTTTTTTTTCTTTTTTTTTTTTTTCTCTTACTCCCTCTTATCGGACTGCAATTCCATCTATACTATATTTGCTTGTATTCATTCCTGACGTTTTCCCCTTCACGTCTTCCAATAGCCTGACGGTAATGGTAGCTAACTGTTGATTCACTTCAGTCTGTTTTCCTCTCAGATCTTGTCCCAGATCGGAGTATTAACTCGCAACACTTGGGTCGACGGTAGAGTCAAAGGGGTGCCGGGAGACGTCTCGCCGGTTAAGGGGAGTCTCCGAGTCAGAGGACTGGTTTTGTTAAAAAGTCTTCTGTCGGTAAAGTTCTTGCACCCAGTCTTGTTATTCAAGTAATGGCTGTGACCAAATGGGTTGAGGAAAGTTAATTTTGTTTTCCTTTTTAATTTGATTGGATGCTTGATGCATTTGCTTGGCCCCCTCTTGACCATTGGAAGTGCCTCTTTGAATACATTCCAGGTAGCTGGCTTCTCTGCCTTTTATATTTGATAAATGGAGGACGATAAGTTCTTTTTGTTTTTGTTTTTTTTAAGTCACTTGTTCTCGGTTTCCTTCACGTGTTTGGAAGAGGTGAACAGATTTTGACACAAAGAAAGTAAAACAGTTGAATGTATTTTTTCAGCCATGTTTTTTTCACTACAGTAATTTCTGTGAGTTTATATGAAAACCAGTTTCTCTTGTAAGTATTGATTGCAGTTAAGTCAATAAACCCCGTATTTTTTTGAAAAGTTAAACTGTGTAATGAGTTGTGTACTTTGGTTGAAATCTGATTTAGATGCTCTCACACATAACGCAGTTAAAGACACGCTGCACACGCACGAGGATGCAAAATCTGTCAGTCTTTTCTTCTAATCTGTACAATGAAGATTACATTTTATCAGGTTACTTAGTAATCCTTATGGACCTTATTTTGGGTGGCGTTAGAGACTGGTTATTTTAATATTCGTCTAATACAGGACTTCACGGACAAAGCTTTACATCAGAGGTTTTCAAACGGAGGCCCGCCCCATAAATCCACTTTGAAGTCATAGAAAAAGGACACTCCCTTATATCTCCTCAACCTGCCTGAGAATCAACACACACTTAAAGTTTTCTTCAGTATCAGAGAATTCCAGTGATCGTTGTCTACACATCCATGGGTACAACCGCTAATTCGGCATACTTTTAAATCTGCCAATTTACCAAAATGTAATCAAATATAGGCTTAAAAAAACAAAACGGGGCTCACGTTGTAGCCCACAGCTAACGAAGGCAACATAGTACTTCAATGTCGGACTGCTTTACATAAAGGGACCGAGTACGTTTACAGATGTTTTATTTAAAAATGGGAAATGGAAGCGACTGTGCTTCTCTGTAAATAAAGCAGAACTAAAGGGAGTGTCACTGTGGTGGAAGTTGATTGGTGAGCTGCACAGAGGAGCAGTCGGGGGTGTTGACCTGGGGATAATCTAACCGAGCAGGTTTTGGTAACACAAATATTGATCAGGGGGCTGTAACCGGTACGTTTCCGAGAATAAAAAGAAAAGTGTGATTTGCAGAGGTTATCACCTGATCAATGATCCTGAGGTTACAAGCAAACCGATCGATACATGTGTGAGGATAAACAATTGAGTCATAGGTTGATAGGTTTATCAGAAATATATAGCACAGTACCCCATGCGGTCAATTTGACATAAATACATGTAGATAACGATCACTATTTCACCATTAATGAAGCAGAGTGGTGCATGATTTCAGTAACAACACACAGACAGCTTCCCACTTCATACACTCTACATCCACACTTCTGCTTTCGCTCGCTCTCTCTGGACACTTCCGTCTGTCCATGTTTATATTCTCTCAGATTGCAAAAAAACGAGCCGGAACAGGAACTCCCTTCCCTCCATACAATGGTGGGTGCTGACCCGTCACATCTGACCCGTAAGAGGCCTTGTTGTTGCTTTACTCCAGAGAACCTGGGCCCGGTGGATTCCTGTCTTGTTCCTTTACCCCCCCCCCCATTGACCCGACCGCCTGCTGAGAGCCTCTCTGCATTACCAGCAAGTTAAACTGGGAAATGGCCTTCCAAGTTGATTACTCACTCGTACATATTGTTTCATTTTGTGTCACACGTTCTTTTAAAAGCAGAGAAAGCTAAAAATACCACAACATGTGGTCCACACATGGAATACCTACGAGTATTTATGATGTACCGCTAATAAAATCCTAATTTCTCAAGCAGTGATCAAGAGCAAACCTGGAAGAAGAAGCCAAAATGCAACAACACAGAGGTAGTCAAAGGAGTAAGTTTTAAAAACATTTTAATGCTACTGAAGGGAAGTGATTACAGAAAAGGCCGTATTGCAATGGGTTCACTGGAGCATTGGACATGTACGGATGCTGTGTTTGGGGTCCTGGAGACCACAGGCCACCTTTAACAGTTTAAGGAATATACATTGCTTTATCACCTTTATACGCCATGACTTTTATGAGAATTGCTTATAAACATGATTTTTAATTGATGACATGTTGCAGAAGTCTGCTACATAGCACGACCAATGACAGTAAAACAGTTACTGGTAAATACAATTCATTTTCATCTGCTAAACATCTGTGGTCGGTGTTGACAGTACTTGTTAGGCAGCACTACCCCTCCTAACACCCAAATCATTTCAGATTAGAGTTTTGTAACAGTTAGCTAGAGGAACAGCGAGTTTCATCTAATTGGCCTCAATACATAAGTAACATCACTATATACACTAAGTCAATTTCTTGGACTGTGAATGAGTTTTTGGCAAACAGAATGAATATATATTTGTTCATGCATAGAGCATATAACTATATAAATGTATATAAAAGAAACATTTCCTTATTTGTTGTGTTAGCGGCGGTTATGTTCATATTTTGTTACCTCCATCAAAAAGCCTAGTTCGTGGCTTAGGGAATCAATTTTCCACATATTGTGTTTTCATAACGTAAATATAAAGGATCGCAAACCAAACCAGGTGAACATGACTTGAGAACATCTTTTTTTTCTTGCTGCACCCTTCAAGAAGAACTTCAACAGCATGCAGTTTGAGGGACATGAAAGAGGGCCGTTTCCTGTTTGTGTGGTGTGCGCGCGCGTGTGTGCGTATAGAGACACCTTGAGACGAAGCACCAGGAAGTGGGTTTCTGAACCTCCAGCAGCAGGTCTGAAGGGTGGCGGAAGGGGGGGGGTTCGTCTGCTCTTTCAGGGCAGGAACACAAAAAAAGAAGAAAAAAAAACTTCCATTACTTCATCACATTTTACAGCAGGTTGCTTTCCAGCATGGAACGAGTACGGTGACACAGATCAAGTTTGTGGTTCATTCATTGCTTCCTGCACAACAGGATAGAGCAGGTGCGCAGCTTTACTCTCAGTATCTTCATTCACCTTTAACCCGCACGGTTGAGCAAGAGAATGTGGCGGCATGTACACTTTGTAGTTGTGTTATCAGAGGCAGGTTCACCTCTTTGTCTGAGAAAGAGGTGAGCAAATAATTCTGGATGTGCTAACTGTGCCATTTCCCCTATCGACACTCACAGCTGAGAGCAGGGTGGCTGCTGCCCCGCGTACATGCATGTATGTGCATGGCTGCAGTGGGACATGTGATGTGGGAGGGACACTTAATCACCAAACAAGGGCTGAGGTCGACACTGAGTGGTGAGGCTATTCAGAGGCCGCTTTGTCTGTAGAAAAAAACAGAGAAGTATGATTAACCTCCTTCAGACACACATAACAGAGCTTGCAAACTTGCATTAGAAACAAGTAAGAACTGCACTTTTAATGTCAGTGGTTGGATTAGATGTTCCTTCATATAGCGACCCACGGTGGTAGCATAAGCCCACATGGAACAAAAGTGCATGGTGGTCTATCTTAAAACAAAAGTTTGACATTTTGGGAAATACTCATTTTCTGGCGGAGAGGTAGCAGAGAAAGTTGATACCACTCTCTTGTTTGTATCAGAAGTATGAAGCCACATCCAGCAGCTGGTTAGCTTAGCTTAGCTCAAATAGAGAGAGGATCGACATGCAACAAAGGTCCCATGGTTGAAATCGAACCGCAGACGTTGAAGTTACGCGTTGTGGGCAGTAACCATTTGGCTATCAAGGCACTGCCCCCAGTAGCCAGCCTTTATGCTAAGCTAA